TCCTAACACCTTCTTACTGTAATGAAGTCTTCTTGGGTGATCAGGCATGAAAAAATGGATTTAGTATCCAACGGAATGTCTATGCCACCAGCATTCAGGATGGACATGAACGGTTCTGTGGAGGCAAAGAGGTTCTATGAAATGGTGGGAACAAAGCCCAGCTTCTCATGTCTTACCATCTGAGAAGACTTCAGTGCATTCACTTGCTGTAAGTGATTCAAATCATATGCACCTCTCAAAGAATTCTTTATCTTAACACCACAACATGCATGGAGACCAATGCACACCATGATGCACAATATTCAAACATAACCTGCAATCTTCATCACACATATAAAATTAGTATATATACATTTCTGTGGGTTATTTACCAACATCAGTATTGAGACTGCACACCATCAAATAGTAGAATGACTGGTGAAAGGCAAACTGGAAAGAATATGGAAGAAGCCATTGTGGCCTGATCAAGTTCCCATTCTGGCATTTGCCCAAAGGGACAGAGGAACCACGAGAAACTTCAGTCATGGTTGAAATTCAAACCCAGAACCTCCCTAATATGAGTTCTGAGCATCACTGCTATGCCAACCCACTTTGTCACAGCACATCTGAAAAAGTGACATTTTGCAACCCCCTCTCTGAGTACATAGCACCCGTAACTCTTACAAGGTGAAGCACTTCGACTGCTCTTAAATTTTGTTCTGTTATTTCCGTTTAAATTACTGAGAGGATGTGCCATAGCTCAAGTGGTTAGTCACAGGTTTCCCACAGCAGCAGTCCAGGTTTGATCCCAGGCCAGGTCGTGTGTGGAAAAAGTGACACTGGGATAGGTTTCCTCCACATTTCAGTCAGTCCCCCAGCCAATTCTCCTTTAACCAACTGCTCCAGACTCATTAATCATGATTCTATATAGCCTCAATACATTGTGCCTCATCTTTCATGCTTTGCTGGTGCTTAAAAGTAGATGAAATGACGTGCTGGTCAAACTTCTTTATTGACAACAAACATTTTGTTATTGAATTTCAGTTGTATTAAATTTCTGTATTTCATTTATGTTCCAATGGCAAGCATGCAGGATTGAACTAATTCTTCACTGACAATTCGATGTACTTAAAATTACAGTTTAATAATATCATTCCACTTGGTCTCTGACATTAAGGGAAGAAATAGCCTGAGGGTGTTTGAGAATGGAGATGAAGTGACAGGAGGTTGGAGAAAACTGAGTAACGAGGAGCTTCGTAACCTGTACTTTTCTCCAGATATAATTAGAGTGATTAAGTCAAGTATGATGAAATGGGCAGGACACGTAGCATGAATGTGTAAGAAGAGGAATACATATAGGATATTGGTGGGAAAGCCAGAAGAGACCACTTGGAAGATAGGATAGGGTGGTACAGACTGGATCAATCTGGCTAGGATAGAGACCAGTGGAGGGCTCTTATGAATATGGTAATGAACCTTTGGGTTCCATAAAATGCTGGGAATTTTCTGAGTAGCTGCATAATTGGTGGCTTCTGAAAAATGGCTCAGCTCCATGAAGTTAGTTAATACCTTTGCAATAAATATACTATAACCATAGTAATACAAATGGTATTTCTAATGCATTAAACGATTAATATGACATGGACATTAGTACAGGGGGCTGATACGAATGTTATAAGCTTTTCAGCTCTTACATTTTTTATGTTTTCCTGCATAACAAGCTTGAATTGATTGGTAATGTGGAAGATATCTTGAGAGGTCTCCTCTGTAATTTCTTTCAGCAATCACTTGGCTCTTGTTAAGGGAATGAAACCCTCCATTTCATCTCCATGTAAACTGGACTGAGCTGGCATATACACTACAAACAATCTGATGTTTACTTGTATCTTGAACTCATCCATTTTTCCTGTTTTAAAAGTACAAAGGAATCTCAAACTACTGAGCTCACTGCCATCACTCTATCACCCGAGTGTCGAATTCATGGAGGCTTCATTTAATTTAAATTTAAGCTCCTCACTCTCTCACCCGAGTGTCGAATTCATGGAGGCTTCAATTAATTTAAATATAAGCTCCTCACTCTATCACCTGAGTGTCGAATTCATGGAGGCTTCATTTCATTTAAATTTAAGCTCCTCACTCTCTCACCCGAGTGTCGAATCCATGGAGGCTTCATTTCATTTAAATTTAAGCTCCTCACTCTATCACCAGCCCCAAAGTTGACAATAATGTGCTGCCTGGTCAGGACTAGCACACATGTCAGAAGGTGTTAACAGATGAGTATGGAGCAATGGTGAAATGATGATTAGCAAGGGAAAATAAGGAAACTCAAAGAGAAGAACCTGGTCCAGTGCCATTTCATCCACCATAAATCTAACGTGAAGTCAGCCATGATTTGAACCCAGGGCTGCATAGTCCGACACCAGCGTCCAACTCCCTGCCCACCTGATTTAACTTTCGATACAGTATCCACAAGTGGTAAAGCAGCATTCTCTCCACTGCTTAACCTACACACATATATATATTTTGTTAACGTTCATGTTAGTGGTAGTTTGGTGTTCATACTTCTCTGTCTCTGAAGGAAAGATGAAGAGAAGACTTGCTTGAGACTTACAGCCCATTCTCAATCATCCACTTAGAGATTAACTGGGGGGACCGTTAGAACCCCTTAGTTACTGATTGTTGCTTCCTGTAGAGACACAAGTGTTGCCACTGCATGTTTCAGTAATACAAATCAGTCACATTTCGCAGTGATTTGCAGTAGACTATACATGTCACCCTACTGCTACTTTCTGCTATTTATTTCACTTTTTCTCATGCCAGTCTGCTACCTTCAACTGCAAAGATACCTGTCTCACTGCTTACTGACCAGCATGATCAATTATCTGCTACACTCCTCCCTTAATTAGTGGGTAGTCAAGAGGTCACTGTATTTAAATTTACATTTAACAGTCACATGATAAATAAAACAGCAATGCCATCTAACTAAACAGTGTTAACCATTTAACAAATCTTTCTTTCATTTTGTAACACTCATTCGTTATTTGAGACTCCCACACTGGTTGAGGCACCATGCTACAAGCTGGAATGTCATGGGTTTGATTCCCAACAAGTTCACTGGGTCGTTCAATTGACCTAATCCCTCCAGCTGCATTATGGTCCTGGGGTTGACTCAGCCTCTAACAGAAATGAGTGCCAGGAATCTTCCTCATGGTAAAGGGCAGCTGGCACGTAAGGCTGACAACCTCACTGCCATCTGTGAGCCGAATGTATAGAAAATGTGGGAGCCTCAATGTCTCACAACTCTATGGGTCTCCATAGCCTGTTACAGGGATAGCTTTACATTTACCATTCATTGCGAGTAAACATCATGGCAGGCCCAGCAAGATGTGTGTGAGTGATGAGGTGATGCTATATGAATATAGTGATATATCTGAGAGTCATTATAGCAGTGACAGTGAAATAAATGTGAACATTTCATCAAGTGGTGAACAGAGAGTAAGTTGTGATGAAGAGGGAAATGTCAGTGACGGATAACAGCAGCATGCAGTATGGTGCATGGGCAAAGTCAGGTGCTCGGCGAACATGTTTTCTATTTACTCACAAGCCTGGCATAAATGTTGATTCTGAAGACCACAGTAACACCTGGAATATTTTGAGTTGTTTTGTACACCAGAAATTGAGTAAATAATAGCCAGAGAAACAAATCAGCACAACCAAAATATTTTAGAAAACATGCCTAATCTAGAACTAGATGGAGACAAACAGAAATGGAAAAAAATATGAAGTAACTGCTATTCTTTGTTATAATATTATATTGTAGCATCCTGTTGGACTTTTCACTTAGTGTTTCTAATTCGTTCTACAGTCTTATGTGCAACAATTTGTTATATTCTAATAAACTGTTGCATATAAGACTGTAGAACTAATTAAAAACCCTTTCTGTTATAAAGACTTCACTAAAAGCTGGATAACAAGAACTATTTTTCCTGGAGGAAAATTCTAGAAACACCCATATTTTTGGACCTGTTCAGTGAGAGGAGGTTTCAGCTTCTATTCAAGTTTCTTCATTTTGTAAAATAAAGTATGTAAAAAGTAAAGGAATCCCTGCAACAGGCTGTGGAGGCCCATAAGGTTGTGAGATGTTGAGGTTCCCACATTTTCTAGACAATTGGCTCACAGATGGCAGTAAGGTTGTCAGCCCTAGGCAGCGGCCGCCCTTTGCCCCCAAGAACATTCCAAGAATATTCCTGGTACTCATTTCTGTTAGAGGCTGAGTCAACTCCAGGGCTATAGTGTGGCTGGAAGGATTAAGTCAATTGAAAATAATCCAATGACCTCATCAGGACTTGAACCCACAACCTTCCAGCTTGTAGCATAGGGCCTCAAACAACTATGCTAACACGTGCCCCTTCATTTTGTTGACAACAAAAAAGGTTAACATCATGAAACAAGCCTCGACTGTGAAAACTGTAAGGTGGACCTGTGTTCAGCACCGTTTCCAACTTTACCATATGGTGGCTGACTTCTAGAGATGTGACAGAGGATCAAGGTTCAGCAAGTGGCTGAGAAATGTCTGAATGTTAAGATTTTAGTGGCTACAAAGTGTACTATGGGCTGGTACTGAAAACTACCTAATAATTATAGACCTTCCCAGTATGTGCCACTGGAACTGCAACGTTTCCAGCAGCATTATTGTTTTAGTGATGATTGCATAGTCCTCACAAGATAATGATTTTGCAGATGATGTTTGGAAGAACAAATAGCTTTTGTTACACAGTTCATGCACTCAAAGTAGCCTTGAGTTTGCGAAAGAAGTGCAAATTCAGCCCATATGGCAATAAGAAATGTTTGTTATCAAAGAGGCAGGCAGAGCTGTAGTAGGTGACAGTGAAATGTCACAATAATCAAACATGCAAGTGCGTGTTTAGACTGGAGGCAGTTCTGTCTGTCAGCTTCTGAGATAGTATTTCATCTCTAAACACCACACACTGGTCAAAAGTGTGTATACTAAATGTACATGCCTTTGTGATCACGCACTGGGAACTGACAGACATGCGAGTGGCAACAGTGGCATACTTTCTGAGAATAAAGCCAAAGTATAGAATGTTACTAAATAATATATATATATAAACTTTAATGTAATGGCTAGATATAAATAAGCATATAAATATATGAACTCTGATAAGCAGTCTTTCAGAGACTTTGTGTTTCACAATTCTATGACACATGGTTGAGATATTATATTTTAAACAGGGAGAAACAATTGCAAATTAAACACCGCAGTAACAAATTTAAATGTATGGTGAATTTTAATGCCTGACTGCGAGAGATAAGAACAAGCAATATATACCATGTAACTTATACTGACTTCTGAGGTCTCAACTGCTAACTGAACTATGAGCAGGACAAATGCACGAATTCTAATCTCAAGTGTTAATGTCTCAGTATATAGTGTCATCACAACAGTAAGGAAATGTGAAACTTGGAACGCGTATGTCTCACACTCTTTGCAATCAGTGCCTTGACTGAGGCAGCAAGTACTACAACTACTGTTTCCTGGGATGTGACACCATTTAGTCTGGTACACAGGTACCAACCTTTCGGAGAAAGCGGCTCCTACCACCTCCAGTGCAAAACTGGGTAAAACTGTCATATCAAGGACTGGCACTGGGAGAAAACCAATCAGAAGTGTAAACTGAATGTTATCCAGTGGCCTTAAAAGGGCTACATTTGTCATAACCAGGGCCAGAGAATTCCACCCACTGATTCACTTTCGGTCACATCCCTGCCCTCCCTTCTCTATATCAAATTATTCCCTGAAGATGGAGGCAGCAGGTTCCACTGAAACATGTACCAGACCACATGGCACCACATTCTGTAAGAGAGTAATCTTCACAGTCAACACCACGTAAACCAAAAGCCTCAAAAAGTAAATATTATGATTATGGTCTTGTGGGACCTGATGTCACCCAGTACAGTAGACAGGTACCAATGTTTTAATAACACCTGCTGACCCAGTTTTCAGGGTAGAAGTCTCCCCTGAGAAGTTTGTACCAAACTACATGGTATCACATCCCAGAAAACTGCACTTCTAATGAACTAATTATTTTAAATATTACTTGTACTCAAGATTTTGATATTAAATATTTAAAATAGAATATGTAACAGAGTGATGTTACACAGCATTGCTTACAATCTCTAAATATAAAACAGAAAAGAAAATGTCAGCTTTAAAACATTTAACCACATATTCTGCCAGTATTAAAAATCATAGAAATGAATGTCAGTGGGTGAAATGAGATTCAAAATATCAAATGCCTCAAAATCAAAAGAAATTTCAACACAAGAATACAGCGGTTAAGTAACACTTCTTGTTTGCACTGTCTTCCTTTCAATGAAAGATGATGCCATTAAAATATACATCAAAATGCCACAGTATAAACCAGACAATACAGTTTACTTAATATGCGGTTGATATTCAAACATATTACGACACTTAATCTATGGCATACATTGGAATTACTCAAATCCAATCTCAGTCACAAATATTTTATTGCAGGCCTCACTTGCAGGAAACCTCCCACCCCTTTTGTTATTAACCTCTGTCGTCTTGGATTACATGATTGTCGGCTGGACCTTCCACATGCAAAAATATCCACTGCACGGCAGATGACACAGGTCAACAAATCAGCTTTTGTGTTTATAAATAGTACTCAGAAATACTCATAGTAAATATGTGATAGTTTGGTCAACACATTACACAACTCCCAGTTGCAAACCGTAGCAGATACTATACCTGAAATTATAATACTATGGCCATGAAAAAAAGACTATTTCTGATGACGATGATGATGGTGATGGTGATTTAGAACATCCACAACACAAAACACAAGCACAATCAACAAGTTTCAAATAAGTCCTCTTTTCTTTTTGTAGTCCTCAAGGTTCAATGATCGTCTAGGTCCTGTATCCTTACCCATGTTCATTGGCTTTGGTGTCACATTAACAGGGTTATCTGCAATAAGAAGCAGACCAAATGTATGCCACATACCTGCGATGCACAACTCACTCATCATTAAGCAGTGGGTAAGGTAAAAGGTAAGGTGAAGCTGTACCTGTGCTTAACTAATTAAGACTACTCCATGAAAATGTATCAGGGAGTGGATGTATAGATCCACATTACCTTGACCTCGGCACTAGGTGGAGATGAGCGGTCAGCTTCATGCCCTGGCCACTTTACTCACAGGGAAAGAGCCCCTGGTACCCTTTGGATAGGAGGCTGTGTAGGCCCCAGAGCTAGTCTGGATGACACAGAGAAGTGAAAATTCTTGCCCACACTGGGACTTGAACTCCAACCCCTTGGTCGTCCAGCCTGTATCTTAAACAGTTGGATGATTACTAAATAGGAGAGTGGAAAAGGCATGGAAGGAAACTTACTTACCAACACATGAAATACAGTCTCTTATATAAAACCACCCGTTGATAGATCCTCTAACAGTGGAGGGTCTGCACACTAACTTGAGCAAAATTCTGAACACAGGTATAACGTCATGTATCATTCCATTCTCCACCACCCCCACCCTATTTCCTGCTTCATCCCCCTCTTTCTTTATTACCTTCTACACCCTCCTGGGCCACTATGTCTATGTTTGTTCACTGCTCCATTTTGTCCTGCCTGTGCATTCACCTTCAGGATGTCCTGCAGTTCTCTCAGTGTTACTGTGCACATGCCGTAGAGTGCACTGAAAAGTGGTTTCCCATTTAAAAATTTGCAAAATTTTGCTCTGTTCTCCTCTGCACCATTTGCATTAGAGGTGCACTCAGAGCTTTCTCCCACTTCACAGTGAAAATCCAGCAAGGGTCTCAATATCACTGAGTAATTTATATACTTGTACTACAACAGCTTCT